TCAAGTAAAGAAATAATTTAATACATGATAAATGTGACTTTTCAAACTTGTGCAAAGAAAGCATTACTCATTAAATAATTTTAGAACAATTAACTAGGCATTTGGAAAACAAAATAAAACCTCTACTTCATTTCTTGTCTCAAAATAAAGTCCAGATCATTCAAAGATTTAAAGGAAAAACAAATAAAAATAATAATGAACCCATACATTTATAGTCATCCGATTCTTGACAAAGGTGCCAAAAATGTACACTGGAGAAAAGATAGCTTTTTTTTTTAATACCAGGAATTGAACTCAGGAGCACTCAACCCACTGAGACACATTCCCAGCCCTATTCTGTATTTTATTTAGAGACAGGGTCTCACTGAGTTGCTTAGCACCTCACTTTTTGCTGAGGCTGGCTTGGAACTTGCGATCCTCCTGCCTCAGCCTCTGAAGCCACTTGGATTACAGGTGTGCACCATGGGGCCCTGCTGAAAAGACAGCCTTTTCCACAAATGGTACTTGGAAGCTAGTTATTGCTATGTATAATGCAACTAGACTCTTACCTTTCAAACTGCACAAAAGTCAACTCAAAATAGATCAAAGACCTCAGAATTAGATCATAAACCATGCATCTCCTAGAAAAAAAATGTAGGTTAATGCTCCAGCATATAGGCACAGGCTATAACTTTCTCAATAGGACCACTAAAACTCAGGAAATAATGCTGAGAGTTAATAAATGGAATGGCATCAAATTAAAAACCTGCCCCCCAAAACTAAACAATTAGGAATGTGAAGAGAGAACCCACAGAATGGGAGAAAAATCTTTGCTAGCTACTCTTATGACACAGGATTAATATCTAGAATATACAAAGTATTTGAAAACTATAAAAAATCCCAATTAATAAATGGGCAAATTCAACACACACACTTCTCAAAAGAAGAAATCCAAATGGCCAACAAATATATGAAAAAATATTCAGCATCATTAACAATTAGGGAAATGCAAATAAAAACTACACTGAGATTTCTTCTCACACCAGTCAGAAGGGGACTCATCAAGAATGCAAATAATAAATGCTGAGGAGGAAATGGAGAAAAATGAATATTTTTACACTACTGGTAGGATTCTAAATTATTACAACAACTATGGAGATCAGTATGGAAGTTTCTCAAAGAACTAGGCATAGAATCACCATATGACCTGCTATACCACTCCTCATTATTCATCCTAAAATCAACATATTATAGTGCTACTCATGTTTATAGCAGCACAATTCACAATAGCCAAACTATGGAACCAGCCTAGGTGTACATCTACAGATTAACGGATAAAGAAAATATGGTATATATACACAATGGAGTTTATTCAGCCATAAAGAAAAATGACATTCTGTCATTTACAGAAAAATGAACAGAACTTTAGACCATTATGTTAAATGAAATATGCTAAATTCAGGTGAAGGGTTTTATGTTTTCTCTCATATGTGGAAGATAGTGAAAGAAAGGTGGTGTGGTGGGGGGAAGGATCTAATGAAAATCAAAGGGAGATCAGTAGAGGAAAAGGACCAGGGGTGGGAAGGAAGTGTTGGGCAGTGATATTGCTCAACTTCTATTGTTATATTTTGTGCATACAGGAATATGTAACAACAAATCCCATCATTATGTACAATTATAATGCATCAATTAAAAATGTGGGAAGAAAAAAAGTAATGAAAGTACTGGTAGAAGATATGAGTAACTGCTCTTTATAAACCCTGGGGCAGGGCTGGGGATATAGGTCAGTGGTAGAGCACTCATCTTGCATGTGAGAGGCCCTGGGTTTGATGCCCAGCACCACAATCAAATAAAATAAACAGGAAGTTAACAAGATTGCAGCAAGTAAGTAAAAATTGAAATGCTCTTACCAGAGGGTAAGAACTATTTCTAGTTCTATTACCTGTGTGAGCTTAAGTACTTAGTCTTTATTTCAGTTTCTTCATCTGTAAAGTGGAGATACTAATACTTCCATCATAGAATTAAATAGTTAATAATATAAGTGAAGTAATAAGAATAGTACCTGGCAGATAGTGTTGGATGAGTGTTTTCAAATATTATTAAATATTTTCCTCTTTTATGTTCTTTCTCTTAAGATTCCTATTCTTTGGATGCCTATAAGACAGTGGTCAACACACTAAGCTACAGTTATATGAGTGTAGCTCCTTATAGTTTAGTGCAGATGTTGGCAGACTATAGCTCATGGGTAGGCCACCCTCGAGCTAAGAATGGTGTTTACATTTTGAAAGCATTGTTTAAAAAGAAAGAAAGAAAGAAAGAATATGCAACATAGACCTTCAAATCTTAAAATATTTATTATGTGGCCCTTTGTATAAAAATTTTGCCCAACATTGGCTTAATACATTTCCCCTTTCAAATATATTTGCAATTTGAAATCACCACAGTATAGATAATAAGGAATAAATCTTTAAAGGAAGAAGGATGATTCTGGACAAGAAAGATTTTATTTCATTTTTTTGAATATTTGGGGAATTCCCAGCTCTCTGGTGAGATAATTTTTTCTACCAATGATTAAGAATCACTTCAGGGTGATTAATAGCGTGGTAGAATAAAACAGTTCCAAAGGTATTTAAACTTGAGACTGAATGGAATCTCAAAAGATGATCCTGTTTCTTCTGGACAATTCTGTCCTGATGATGTTGGCAATCCAACTTCCATGGGAAGCCAGGATCATATTGGTCCAGAATCAGCAAGTTTGCCAGGCTAAGTATCCAGTTCTTTGCCACAGACATTTGTGGTAGTGAGTGTGGTAGTAGGAAAGCTGACTCAGCAAGTCTTTCAGAGAAAGAAATTTGCAGGAAGTAAAATCATTAGTAAGGTTGTTAAAAAGCAACTGTTTTGAAAAGGAAGGCAGTTTTGAGCTATCTTTTTTGTTTGTTTGAAAATAAATAGTGTTAACTACTTTAAAAAATCTCTGGGCAACTTTTACCTACTGCTTTAATCAACCTTGACCACCTTGTAGATTTATCATTTGTTTTCATATGTAAAAAAACAGCCACAGGCAAGAGAAGAGAGAGTAGGTAGAGTCCTGGGTAGAGATAAGACATTCCTCTGAGGGCACTCAAGTGAGACTGTAGGAAGCTGACAGATGAAGTTGATGAGGAGGTAGGTGATACATTTTTTATTGAATCCAGGAGTCCCATCAGTGTGCAATATTAACAGCGTGGGCAGTGGAGGGTGACTTCCTTTCTGACCTTAATTGGGTCTTCTGAGATTCAAACATGAGTGGTCAAATGAGGATCTGTGAACCTCTGTGGCAGAGCAAGACAGGTAGGCACATTGGACACAACAGAACAGTCTTTAGTTGTAACATGGCAGGAGGCAATTTAGACTATAGCACAGATTCTGCATGTGAACTTGACTTTTGGCCTAGCTCCTGAGTTCTAAATCCATTTTGGGGATGGTGAGCTCCAGAGTCTGTGCCTTTCCTCTGTGACCATCTTTTGTATTAAAAAGGTGGTGGTGGTGGTATTGCTGATACTGACTTTTTTTCCCCCCCCAAGAAAGGTCATTTAAAAAACAAATACCAGGGCTGGGGCTGGGGCTCAGTGGCAGATCACTTGCCTAGCATGCATGAGGCACTGGGTTCTATCCTCAGCACCACATAAAAATAAACAAATAAAATAAAGGCATTCTGTCCATCTACTGCTACAATAAAATAAAAAAATAAATACCATATAAAAATACCACTGTTTCAGAAAAGAAAAATATTTGTAAGGGAGATGTAATATGATAATATAAATTTGAAATTAAAATTAGAATTGTTTTAGCCTTCATAAAACACTCAGAAAGATGAAGACTTTAGAACAGTCTGTAGGAAAAACTCTTTTTCACCATGTTCCTATGAGTTTGTTTCATCCTGTTTTCCTCTTTGTTCCTTCATCTGTTACTCTTTGCCTTTGGTCTTTCCCCCAGCCCTCAAATGTTTCCATATTTAAATCACACTTTCTTTTTCTTAATTTCATTACTTTAGTAGAGACTTGAGTCAACTATTGGAAGGCAGATGGGAGAAGCAAGTAGAGGAACAAGACACTCAGTCTGAGAAGCTAAGGTCCAGAAGGGCAGGAACTTTGTTTTGTTTTCCACTATATATAAAGGCTTGTAAGCCTGGAAGCAGGGCCTTAGAATGCAGGTGCTTGATAAATGTTCATTGAATAAATGAATAAAATACAGGCAAGGTATATACATTTCTTTTGTAATGCTCCATAAATAACAGAAAGGTATTAGTCATTGCTCTTACTAGAAGTAATGAGCACATTTCAAAAAATCATTGCAGAAATAGAAGAAAAATTCCAATTAATAACATACCATCTTAACCCAGCCATTACTCACTTTTATTGTTATTTCAATATTTTATAATATGTAATTATAGCATATCTGAACTCAGAAAAATTTGGATGGAATATGAAACTTATTTTCAGAAGAACCAATTTCCTTTATGCACAAGAGATCACAAAAACAAAGTTATACCTGTTACCTGATCTGAAGAAATGTTTTATAATCTGTCAGTGCAAGAGGGCATGTGGTATAAAACACAGAAGACATGCCCCAGCTCTCTGTGTGGTCCTGGGAATTGAATCTCAGGCCTCAAGCATGCTAAACAAGCTCTTTGCCACTGAGCTACAGCCCCGTCCCCAAAGCATACATTCTCTTGCTGGCTTCTAAAGGGTTTCAATGTTCCCATCTGTAACATGAGAAGACTGTGGCTCCATAGTCGCAAAGGCCTTCTTTAAGTATGGAACTTAATGATTCCTAAAATAGATTTTGTTTTACATTATGATTGTAAAGCAATTTATATACCTAAATTTATATATTTTTATGTAATGGTAAACGTTAATGCAGACATAGGAATCACTTCCACGTAGAAGTAGACTTTAGAAATGCACACAGGAGTCATTTCGAATTTTTTCAGTATCGATTTTTTTTAAACCTGGAGAAAAGCAGTAAGTAGTTTCACTTACTAGATAAACTGATTGTTAGTGACTCCATTCGCAAAGATAAATCTTCATCCTACAAACCAACAAAACAAAGTTAATTCAAAGTGACAACAAATATGAGAAATCTAAGCGGAAGGTAAAACAGAATTGGTTCATTGATGAGAAACAGGTTGACCTGTGGGTAGCTTCCGCCCTGTCACGCCCTCAAAACCGGCCCAGTCACGCCAGTCCCGGCACTCACAACGGTCTCTTACCGCCCTCTGCAGGGCTCTTCAAGTCGGGCTACTGAGGACTAAAGCACTGCCGGCCGTCGGGGCGCAGAGCCGATGACGTCACATATGCGCGCGGCCCGAAGCAGGAAGTTAGTCTTTTCCACTTCCTCTCCTCGGTCCAGTTTAGGATTCCTGCCGCCGAAGTAGATGGCGTCTGTGGTAATCCTTGCTACTGTGTACAGTTCAGGTGAGATGGGGGCTAGCCGGTTTTTGTTTTTGTTTGAAAGCGTGCCTGGGTGTCTTTGGTTTAAGCTCAACTCCTTGCCGAGCTTCCCTTGGGGGAATAAGAGGGATGAGAAGAGCCTCTGATGTGTCATTACTGTGGTTTTTGAGTGAAGAAAGATGAAGCGGGGTTCAAACTCTCTACGCAAACTAAGGGGTCTGGGTGCCCTTTTAGATTTTGTAATTTTAGAAGTAATACTTTTTAGGTTGTTGTACATGGGGGTTAAGACAATGTGTATGAAGCATTTAGCTCTGGTTTTACAAAATGTATTCGAGATTTCACTACCCTTCCCCATCACGTTAGTCGCATACTAGCAGTTTTCTTCTTAGTTGACTGAGAGATATTCAGTTTACATGAGGTAATGCATCTTACAGAAGTATCATGCGTTGTTCTTTATTATGAATTCTTGGCAGTGTTTTGCCGTTTCTTTTTTGGGGGGAGGGGGTGCCATGTATAGAAACAGTGATTTCTGCTTTTCTGGAGGGATGGAAAGTCCAATTAAGATCAGTAAGGGGAGAAATGCATTGTTCCAAAGAACTCCATATTTACTTAGCTTGCTGTGTCAAAAGAAGATCAGCTGGAATGTGTTGCCTTAGGGCCTGTGATTAGCCATTTTCATTAGAAGCCCCTTAATAGGCCAATTGTAGAGAAGAAGGGAACATAAATCCTCTTCTTTTTTTTTAAATATTTTTTTAGTTGTAGTTGGACACAGTGCCTTTATTTTATTTATTTAATTTATTTTTATGTGGTGCTGAGGATCGAACCCAGCGCTCTACCACTGAGCCACAAGCCCAGTCCCAATCCTCTTCTTTTATTTCTTAGACCTCACAAGTTACAAGTACAGAGATTTTCAGTGTGTTAAGTTTGAACATTAGCCCTTAATATATGGTTTTGAGAAATTGAATCAGTTTGAGAGAGAAATTGAAGACAATTATGAAATATTTATTATTTTTGTAATTTGTTGATTGAGGAAGTTAATAACTTAGGCTGTGTGAGTCACTATGACAAAATACATGAGAAAAGCAACTTAAAGGAGGAAAGATTTGTTTTGTTCATTGTTTCAGAGGTAAACCATGATCACTTGGCTCCATCACTGTGGGCTTGGAGTGAGGCAGAACATCATGACTGGGAGCACCTAGTGGAGAAAACTGCTCCTTAGAGCAGAGGAGGGTCTTGGAACAAAAATATGTCCTTCAAAAATACCCTTCCCCACACTGACTTATGTCTTCTAGCTAGGTCCTACCTCCTGAAGTTTCCACTACCTTCCAGAAACTGCCACCAGCTGGAGACCAACCCTTTAACACATGGGCCTTTGCTGGGGTGTTCCAGATCCAAATTGTAACAGGCTGTTTATTTACCTTGCTAGATATTATATGAGTACTTGACTGGAGAAGAGCTGCTAATGTAAAAATCATTGGTATTTTTGAAGTCTGATATTTTTTGTGTTATAAATTGAAAAATAAAGGTAACACAGTTTCCATTGCATAATTCACCCCTAGACCAGTTTAATTTGTTTACATTTTTTGTCTGATTGCAAAATAACATATACTCATTAAATAAATCATAATATTTCTGAAATGATAGAGCCCCCATTAATCTTTCAGAAACGTAATTTCACTTTTTCCTTTTGCTGCGTGTATTACTGTTTCTTTCCTTTAAAAGTATAATCCATTCTTATGCAGTTTACCACTGAGAATATCTTGGATATTTTTAATTGCATTAGGTATGCTACGATTTTCTTTAGCACCTGTATGGTATTATATCACATAGCATACCACAATTTGTTAAATAATTTTACTGTTGGTGGGCATTTGGGGTTCTTTTTGCTATAGCAAATGTTAGGATGGGCATACTTTTTTATAACAATATTGTTATATTTTTGTCCTTTTTTCCCTTTGTTTAATTCTAAAGAAGTGGAAATGTTGAGTTAAAAGATGAACATTTAAAATTGTGATAGATGGGGCTAAATTATCCTCCAATAATAGTATTTGAGACTTTCCTGTTTTCTCATATGTTCACTAATGGTCATTACCATTGATTTTCGGTTTAGCAGAGAACTGCTCATTCAGTTTTTGAGGTCACTATTTCATTTTAGTGTTATAATCCAGTTCATATTTCAGTTCTGTAATAATAAATTATTATCAAGTGATTCATTTCAGCAGTAAATATTTTAAGTTAAAGATTTGAGGGAAAACTATTTACGATGGGTAGATATCAGGAATATGAACCTTTCTGAAAGAAAGGACAGCTTAAGCAAAGATAGGGGGACTAGAATGGGTTCTGAGATCTGAGAGGTGATGATGCTAGGCAGTGAGTTTGATTGAAGATAATAGAAGAGATCGCTGGAAAAGTAGTTTGAACTAAGTGGTCAGGGCTTCGAAGATGGAGTCTATTTTTTTTCTGAGAGGGAACTGAAAATGTCTTTAATTACAGAATGAGGGACATAATCAGATCTTTCTTTTACAAATATCAGTATTGTGGCAGTTTTGAGTGACTGGTGTAAGAAGCAAGTTAGTTAGCTGGTATGGCTTGGGGAAGAGAATATGAAGACTTTTAAGAGCATGAGAACAGAAAAAGGTAGAGAGATTGGAGTTCAGAGATGAAGATGAATCTACATGATTTGATGACGGCTGAGGAAGAGGAAGAAAGCAAAGTTCAATTAGATTTTTATCATGGGTGACTCTCTGAGTTTCACTCAAATAGATGAAATTACTTGTGAAAGATTTGTTACTTTTTAAAGACTCAGCATGTATTTTCTCTTATTTTTGAATTGCTGTTAGAATTTCTGCTGAATGTTCTGTGCCTTGTTCAGCTGTGTTTATGTTAGTAGTACTTCAACTTGTACATACTATCAATAAAAAAGTTCACAAATAGTAATTCATACCTGTCTTATAGTGCCATTATGTTGTATACATTATACAACATGTAGAAGTGTACATTTTCAAAGGCTAAGACACAAATACATTAGAGTTTTATTATTTTTTCCCCCTACATTCCATTGGATTATCTTGCACCCTTCTGTAGAGATGTTGGTCTGATATCTAGCTGACAGTGTTCTGTCCCATTCTCCAGTAGAGGTCACCTTTGAGCGTGGAAGAGAGAACAGGCTGTTGAGCTGTGAAAGGTCGTCTTTATTCGTGAGTTAGAAGAAGGATCTTATTTCTGAATTTCTAAATTAATGCATTTTTGGAAGAAATGTTGTTATAGAATAGTATGTGGAGTTATGGAGAACTGAAGAATAGTAAGCTCAGTAGAGTTTAGATTTGTTTTTATTGTTTGATGTTTGCTTTGTGAATGCTTAGCCTTTGAGTTTGAATGTTACTTGAGTCTATAGTTTTAGAATCTTTTCCTAGTTCTTTTGAGAATCTGTAGACTATGTGAGCCACAGAAATGTTTCTAGCATGTAGGCACAATCTAAGTTTTTGTTCAAATTGGAGTAATTGAAAAAACACATACAAAGAGGTTTTCATTGAAATTGATCCTAAAAGCAGTATGTTAAGCAAGAATTTTAGTGGTGGGTTGGAATTATTTATCTTTATTTTCTATTTTATGCATAATTGAGAGAAGGGGCAAAGGGACATGCCTCCTGTAAGTAAGATACCGTTGTAAGGAATTAGAAATCAAGAACTAAATTTGTTGCAGCCATATATTCTATTTAAAAAAATACTGCTTAAGCCTATATAACAGCTTGTCTCATGGAAGAGAGAACACTGGAATAGGTTACACTTTCTTGCTATAGCAGGCTCAAATTGTATCAGACAGTTTCAGTAATCTGTCATAGAGTGTTGCTTGCAAGCAGCCATATATTCTAAAAAAGAGAAAATAGTTTTTTTTTTTTTTAAATCTATGTGTTGTATGATTCAGAACTTAAGTAGTTTAGGAACAAATCTATGTGTTGTATGATTCAGAACTTAAGTAGTTTATAGGAACAAATCCTCTGATAGATTAAGAAATAGAAGAACGATTTTCTGTTGCTTTCCTAATAAAATATTTCCTGTGAATGAAGGTGCTCATTTAATAGGGACCTATGATTATAATCATATATAAGTTCGTAGTTATTAAGGTTTAATGGGGCTCGGGATGTGGCTCAAGTGGTAGCGTGCTTGCCTGGCATGCGTGAGGCACTGGGTTCTATCCTCCGCAGTACATAAAATAAAATAAGATAAAAATACTGTGTCCACCTAAAACTAAAAAAATAAAAAATAAATATTAAAAAAAGGTTTTAATCCCATGATAGAAGCTGAAAGTGTTGTCAAACAGGTGTAGACAGTCCTGGGTTAGTCTTGTGTAATATGGTGATAGGGTAGAGGAAAATGGTAAAAATTGCATTTGAATGTTTATATAAAGCTGGGCACATTGGCTTATTCCTATAGTCCCAGCTATTTGGGAAGCTGAGGCAGGAGGATCACTTGAACTTGGGAATTTGAGCGATATAGAGAGGTCTCATTGTGGAGTATGTGGATTAATTATCACAACTAGATTTTGTGTGTATTTATGTGCATGTGTGCTAGAGATTGAAAACCCAGGGCCTCATACATGCTAAGCAGGTACTCTATAACTGAGGTACACACCCAGTTCCCTAACTGCATATTTTTGAACATAAAAATTGTTTTAAATTGTTGCATTACAACCAAGGGGACAATCAGGTAAAGTGGATGAGATGGATATTAGAATCAGGAGCTGTTGACCAGAGGTCTGTATATGGTAAGAATTAAAGCTATAAAGCCTGCATGGATTTCAAGGATAGCATAAATCCAGTAAAATATATTTAGCTAGAAATCAGATAATCTGAGGTATTGGCTTTCAGGGCTGGATTTAGAAGTTGAAAATAGGAGACCAGAGGCAAAGAAGCCTGGTATCTAAGGGCAGGGAAAGATCAAACACCTGGGAAGTTGGAAGACAAGGCAGAAATGAAAATGTCATTTATTAGGAATAAACCAAAGGTTTAGAAACCAGGAGGACAAAGTAGAGATGGAGAAGGACTCCTGGTTTTGGGTAGAGAAGGCAAGTAAGGTCAAATAGAGAAAGAAAGAAAAAAAAAAAAGAATAATTCTAGGGCAGTGATGGTGCCATCACATTCTTCTTTATGTTAAAAATGATAGCAGCCTTGGGTTACAGATAACCAACAGAAGCAGTGAGCTAGAGAGTGAAGAGTGCTGAATTATTACCATTAGCACCAGGAGAGCTAAAAGTATAGGTATTTTCTTATAAAAAGGGCCATGATGCTTGTAGGATGATAATATGGTCATTTAGTTACTTAATGCAGATATTTGTGTAATTTTATGTGTTATTTTATGCAGCTTTCCAAAAGGTTTGGGATACCTGACCATTATGACATCAAGAAACCTCTGGTATATGAGAAGTAACTTTTTCTTTGGTTCAAGATGTTGGATGATTCGCTATTCAGCAGAAATCCACAAATCAGTTTCATTTAGGCTTTTTGGTGTGACATGTAATAATGGAGACAATGAGCCTTTGGAGAATGAGGACCTATTGAACAACTTACTTACTATGGGAGTTGATATTGACATGGCAAAGAAACGACAGCCTGGAGTTTTTAATAGAATGGTTACGAATGAGCAGGACCTAAAGATGTTCCTTTTGTCCAAAGGAGCTAGCAAAGAAGTGATTGCTAGCATCATATCAAGATATCCACGAGCTATAACACGCACTTCTGAAAGTCTTTCAAAACGGTGGGATCTGTGGAGAAAGATTATGACATCAGACCTTGAAATTGTAAATATTTTGGAACGTTCTCCTGAATCCTTTTTTCGGTCCAATAACAATATAAATTTAGAAAATAATATAAAGTTCCTCTACTCAGTTGGATTGTCCCAGAAATGCCTGTGTCGATTATTAGCCAATGCCCCTCGCACCTTTTCCAATAGTCTTGATTTGAATAAACAGATGATTGAAGTTTTGCAGGAAGTCTGTTTGTTCTTGGGTCACAATGATCCCACAGATTTTGTCAGGAAGATAATTTCTAAAAATCCTTTCATCTTAATTCAGAGCACCAAACGGGTGAAAGCTAACATTGAATTTTTACAGTCAACTTTCAACTTGAACAAGGAAGAACTGCTGCAACTGCTATGTGGTCCAGGAGCTGGAATTCTAGACCTTTCTACAGAATGTGCCAAAAGAAATTATACAAATATCAAAGAGAAGCTGTTTTCTCTTGGATGTACTGAAGAAGAGGTACAGAAATTTGTCTTAAGCTACCCGGATATGATGTTGTTGGCAGATAAAAAGTTTAATGATAAAATAGACTGCCTCATAGAAGAAAAAATTAGTATTTTACAAATAATTGAAAGTCCTCGGGTTCTGGATTCAAGCATAAGTATTTTAAAAAGTCGAATCAAAGAATTGGTACATGCTGGCTATAACTTGAATGTCTCTAACATTGCTCTTCTATCTTGGAGTCAAAAAAGATTTGAAGCTAAACTGGAAAAAATTAAACAGTAGAACAGTGCCTGGGGAGTTAAAAAAAAAAAAAAGTCTTGGGGCTGGGGTCATGGCTCAGTGGTAGAGTGCTTGCCTAGCATGTGTGAATCGCTGTGTTCGATCCTCATACCACATAAAATAAATAAATAAGGTATTGTGTCCATCTACAACTGAAAAAATATTTGTTAAAAAATTCTTATAATGTATTTATATAATTTAATTTTGAATTTGATTTCTTCACCACAAACATATATGTAATAATCCTTTGGGTATTTTATTTTAAAAGTTCATAAGAACTCAATATTGGCATGCTTAAGTGTAGTCTTCCTAACTACTACTGTATTTTGAATTAATGGCTGCTATATAGTAATGGTAGTTCCTGAATGCCATGTAAAACAAATGCAGAAAATAAGCTTTTGTGGTTTCTGTTTGGATTGAAAAATCAACAGATTTGGGCTGGAGATAGAGCTCAGTGGTAGAGTGCTTGCCTAGAATTCATAAGGTCACGTCCAACACTGATCCCCAGCATAGAAAAAAGAAATTGACATTCATTCAAATAGTTTTCTTCCCTCATGGTTTTGAATGGCAAGCTATTTCTTCTGTTATTCCAGTGCAATTAATTATGATTCATCAGTAAAAGTCTGACAGAATAGAAAGGAGGGATTTTCTCGGTTCCAAATTCCATATTTTCTGTTCAAACCATTAGTGTGTCTCCCAACCTAGGATTTACCATGAGTTTGTCCTGACAAGGGCAACTATGGTAGATAGAAGAATAATGGCCACCTAAAGGTCCCCAGAAACCATGAGTATGTTATAGTGCAATGGGTTTTGTAGATGTGATTAAGTTAAATATGATTAAGTTAAGGGTCTTGAGATGGGGAGGTTATCTTGATTAATTGGGATGGGCTCAGTGGAATCACAGGATCCCAAAAAGTGGAAAAGAGAGGCAAATAGGAGGTCAGAGTGGTGGAATGTAGAAACACTTGACCACTTTTGCTGGCTTTGAAGGAGGAAGAAGCCATGAGGCAAGGAATGCAGGTGGCCTATAAAAAATGGAAAAGGCAAGGAAACGGGTTCTGCCCTGGGGCCCCTAGAAAGAAGTGCAGGGCTGCTGGCACCTTGATATTAGCCCAGGGAGAGCAGTATCAAACTTCTGATGTGCAGAACCATCAGAATAAATTTGTGTTGTTTTAAAGCAGTGAGTTTTTGATAACTTGTTACAGCAGCAAATAGGTTAATAACTGATTAGTTGTATTTAAAGGAGGATGTCACAAAATGTGGTCTTTTTATCATTTCTTTATGTCTTCCTCTTATAAGAGTAAATTATATGAAAATTTACTTCTCTGGAATTTCTAATGTTAGTGTTTATGACATCTAAATGTGTTGATAAAAAGCTAAGTGTAAATATCTAAATAAAGGAATATTTTTGCCTAATGAATGTAGTTTAAAGAAATGGTGGTCATGTATATTTATATTTTGTTGGCATTTCATTTAATATAAATAAACAGGAATTTCTGGAGGCATTGACTTAAAAATGACAAATTAGATCATGACTATATTTTGAACATATTCATAATCTAGCTCTGATAGCAACTGAGAGGAGGAACAAGTTTTATGACTAATTACTTTAGATTATTTTCCAAAGTAATTTGGTTTCTAAATATGGGTTTTGAATTGAGTCACATAACTTCATGGTATTTGCTATCATTAATGCCTCAAAACAACAACAAAAACCCACCCCACTAATTTGTACCATTGGTAGAAACAAAGTGCCTGCTTTCCCAAAGCCATTTATATGTATTGTAATGATCTCCAGTAAGGTATTTGGTAGCAAGCTTGGCATAATTTAGAAACCATGATCTTTGTAGAGACATTTCTTCAGAGTGATATATCTTTAACTTTGTGTAAATAATTCACTAAACTTGTTTTCTTATAAAATTAAAAACCATGCAGAGTTGGTAAAAATCAATGTATATAAGGTATGTAAGATTTCTTGTACATAATAGCTGTTCAGTCAAGGATAAGAAAAATAAGTTACAGTAGTATTTTTTTAAGAAACAGCTTTATTGATATCTAATTCATATACCATGTAATTTATTAATTTATATAATTCAAGGTTTCAAAAATATCTATTCATTTAAATTATACAATTTAAGATAGCGCATATGATCATCACTACATTATAATTTTTAGAATTTGTATCCTCTAAAAGAAACTGGTACCCATGGGCAGCCAATCTTGTTTTCCCCCTTCCAGCCTCATAGCACTAAGCAAAACCTAAATCTTGCTGTCTTTATAAGTTTGCTTTTCTGGACATTATATATAAATGGAATCATACGTACATAATTTCGTGACCACTTTCACCTAATCTTTTTAAGTTTCATTCATGTAGCTCATATCAGCATTCCTTTTTATTGCCAAATAGTGTTCTATTCTATGGATACAATAGTATTGCTGGGAATTAAATTTATTGTTATGGCTTGAAACACAAAGTATTAATTAATTAATTAATTGTCTTTGGAGTTGTATGGAAGAATTTCCCAAGGTATCTCTCTTGGGAATCTTTTTTTTTTTTTTCTTTTTAAAGAGAGAGTGAGAGAGAGGGGGAGAGAGAGAGAGAATTTTTTTTTTTAATATTTATTTTTTAGTATTTGGCAGACACAACATTTTTGTATGTGGTGTTGAGGATCGAACCTGGGCCGCACTCATGCCAGGCGAGCGCGCTACCGCTTGAGCCACACCCCCAGCCCTCTCTTGGGAATCTTAACAAATTTATATGGAACTTGAGGGAGATGGGCAGAGAAGGTAAAAGTTTTTTGGCATAAGCAGGTCATGGGGATTTCACCTGGGTTGAGAGAAATTGTATAGCAACAATAGTTGCAAGTGCCCAAGGAGAATGTAGGATGAACAGAAATATAATACAACACTTGATCATTTTAAAAGTAACATTTTTTTTTTGTCAGAAGTGAAAGGAAAATCCATGTTAATAGGAAAATAAATCACAAAAAAGAAGGAAAAAACCTCCAGAGATAATATTTTGGTGGCTCTTCCTATTGTTTTTCTTTGCAGAACTTATCTGTACCTAGATGTAATATGAGTAGGTATGTAGTATATATATTTAAGTTGATATTGGACTATTATAGTTTTTTCTTGTCCTAATAAATCCTAAACATATTACATAATTTTCAGTATTAAAGGATCAAGTAAGTATTCACCTGTTAACATGGTTTTTAATGGTTGTATGATGAAATTCTGTTGCTGGATAAACTGTAATTTCTCAATCTCTCACCATTGTGCAGAGCAAATGAATTTTAGTAATATTTTAAACATCTCATCTGGATTATTTTAACATTCCATAGGTTATACTGTCATTTTTAATCCATTGGCATTCTTTATAAATTAGAAGTTTATTCTAGAAAATATAAAGGTTGAATATTGCATTATTGTACTGTTCTCTAAATGTCAGTTTCACAAAACCATTTTTTAAAAATTTTAATTTGTTATATATGACAACACAATGCATTACAATTCATATTACACATATAAAGCACAATTTTTCATATCTCTGATTGTTCACACAGTTGTTGTAAAGGCTTATTTAAAAGCTTTTGACTTGTATCTTTTTGGTAAAAATCATCATAAAGGTTTCTCTTAGTTAATGCATTTTGATAAATGTAACTGCATGGGTGAATCTCAAATTATGCAGGAGCCAGAGTATGAAATGTGAAAGGAGGCAGAGTATAATCTATATAATTACATTTATATGAAATGTAAATTTCATAGAAAATTCTCACCCATCTGTAATGACAGAAAGCAGATCATTGTTAGGGGATCAGGGTGTTTGGATGGGAAAGGATACTTTGGAGGGACTACATAGAAACACAAGGACACTTTTGGGAGCTATGTATATATTCATTGTTTTGATTGTGGTGCTGGTTTTGTGATTGTATACATATGTCAAAACATCAAATTAGATGGTTTTAAAAATTTTATTATTATTTTTGTGGTGCTGGGGATTGAACCCAGGGCCTTATGCAGGTGAGGCAAGCACTCTACCAATTGAGCTATATCCCCAGCCCTCAAATTATATGTTTTAAATATGTATGCTTTAGTATACTTCATTTATACCTCAGTGAAGTTGAACAATTCATTCGCTTCATACTGATTTAAAGTTCTGTCATTATGCTGGGTATGGTAGCACGTGCCTGAAATCCCAGTGACTAGTGAGGCTGGGGAAGGAGGATCACAAGTTTGAGGTTAGCCTTGGTAACTTATCAAGAACCTGTTTCAAAATAAAAATATTAAAAAATAAACTAAAAATAGGGTAAGGATGTGACTTAGTGGTAGATTGTCCTTGGGTTCAATCCTCAGTACCATACAAAAATTATTTTAAAAGTTCCATCATTATCTGATAATAGATTAAACGTCTCTGTGTGCATGTTTCTGTATCTTCTTCAACTATCTTAATCAAATATATTTGAATTTATATTTCTATGTCATATCAAGAATTAAACAGTATTAGTAAAGATATTGGGAGACTGTGGAAGCCATCTTGAAAAAAATATTGATTGATTTATACTTGTTTACCAGGATAAACTCCCCCCAAAGCAGCTATGAGTCCAGAGGTTTTCCTTACCTTGGCCTTATCCTGAATGACCTATACTCAAGTTAAGCCTTGGCATGAATTAGGTGCAGGGCTCCTTTTCATTCTAGGGGATTTCCTGGACCTTGATTAGGACTAACGGGATGGAATTTACAGGGAAAGCAGGTGCACCTTTTTTTGCTCTCACTATTCCTGGATTTCAGATAAAGTTAGACTTTGATCTTTCTGTCCCATGAAAGCAAGAGCTCGCTCGCTCTCTCTCGCGCGCGCTCTCTCTCTCCCTCCCTCCCCCTCTCTCTCTCTCTCTCTTTAAATGTGGATGATTTACCTTTTATTTGAAAAAGAATTTTTCCAAAATACATTTTGATATTAGTTTTCATTGCCAAATAATACATGCTTGCTACCACATATTCAAATAATACAGAAATGAATAAATTAAAAAGTGAAAGCTGGTCCCTGCCATTCTCCAACTTTTTAAAACTTACAAAATTCAATATATATTCATTATAGAAAGTTTGGAAGACACATAAGTAAAATGAAGAAAATTGATCCCCCAGTGACACCTCACAAAGACAGCTACTATTATTAATATTTTGATATATTTTCAGTGCTTATGGATATAAGAAAATTTTTGTCATAATTGTCTTAGAGACTCACATACACACACAAATAGCATAGACCATCTGAGGAAAAATTGGAAAATAAAGATATACTAACAAAAATATTTAAACACCAAACTTTCACCACCCAATGATAATCACTTAATATTCTGGTGTGTGTCCTTACAGATTGACATCTTTTTATTTACACATAGATATGCATATATGCGAACACAGAATCATTCTAGACATACTATTTTATAATTTTCAGTTTATAATACTTTGTGACATCTTTCCATTTTTTCCCTTTTTAATTGATTTTTAAAAAATAAATGACAGCAGAATGCATTAACAATTCTTACTACACATATATAGCACAATTTTCATATCTCTGGTTGTATATAAAGTATGTTGACACCAATTCGTGTCTTCATACATGTACTTTGGATAATGATGTGTACATTCCACCATCATTGCTAATCCCCTGCCTCCTCCCTTTTCCCTCCCACCCCTCGATGAAAATTGAACAATTGTTTTTGTTGGAGTTCAGATGTTTCTCAGCTTCCCTTCTCAGCAGTTAGGTGGTGTTGGAGTTTGATGCTAGCCCCACCCTCAGGGTAGTTGTGTTTGCTAGGGTGAGAGGGTTAGTCCTGGAGGCAGAACTCCTGAAGGTGGGGTTTCAGCTTTGGAATGCTCTGGTCTCTTTGTTGGGAGTCTTTTGGTCTGGAGATTTTAAGTCAGTGCACTTCCAAGGCCTAGCAATTGTTTGTCCATGATGGAAGACTGCACCCCAGGAAACTCCTTTGGGTTCTGCTTATGTGGTTTAGGAGTCTGTTCTTAGCCCACTGTTTTGCTTGCAGACCCCACTATTTATGGTCTGTAATTCAGTCTCTGAAATTGATCTTTCTCTCCCCCATCCTTTCAAATTCCTGATCAGGTGCTTCTCTCCCAGCTGGTCCTGCATATTCCTATATGTAACCCTCTCTCCATGGTTGACTTTCACCTAACCACTTAGGTATACCCTCTGTCACACAGCGTTGGTTTGCCTGGCTCATTTTTTTGGGGCCAGACTCAGGTCTGCCAGCAGTCGGCTCACCCAGATGCTGACTTCCGTGCTGTGGCTGCAAAATGGTTCCTTCTGCTATCCTCTGTTTACGCTGCCAGCTTCCTTCCTGTACATGGGTACTGTGCAGCACAGCTTACTTTTTTTTTTTTTTTTTTTTTTTTTTTTA